ATATCTTATTAGTTTTATAAACTTCTAGGCCTAAGTTCTCTCTCTTTTGTGTCATATCACAAAACCCTCAATACCACACTACTAAAAAATACCCCTTAAAACAATTTCTTTATGTTCATAAAATGAGATGACATTAATTTAAATAAAGCAGGGAAATAACTAGGAAATAAAAAAATGTTATATATGTGTGTGCATGTGTGTACCAAGAAATATGACTGAATGTTTATTAAAACTATAATTAATCCCTTCCGATTATATTAATATTATCTCCACTCAGTCATGTCAAAGATATTAGGATGATGAAGATAGACTGTTGTTCAAGGTTGTTAGATTTTCATAATGTTTTGGTACAGTTCACTACACTACATTCTATTTTAACCCTGATATACTTTACCTCGTGTGTAGATCTTAGATCTGATTCGGCCCACTGTTGTGTGTTTAACTAAGTTTGCCAAATGAAAAATAATTAAATTGATCAAATTCCACCACACAGTGACTGCTTTCAAATGGCTTTTTGCTCTGTTGAAAAGTCTGTCATTAACCTCTTTTCTCATGCGCTCCCTGTCTTCGTCTTTCATTGCTTCTTCTTTGTTTCTTGCGCCTGCTTTGTGCACTGAGGATTATGAGTGAGGGTTATGGTGAATGGAGACACTCTGATTGTGCACGCTCACAGAGGCAATACATTGTTGATGTCCAGGGAGAGAGACAGATGAGGGGGATGTTCTGTAGACTGAACGATTGAATGCAGGTCACAAGGTTCTGCTTTACACCAGAGTCTAAAGACGACAAAATAAAGCACTGGCACCAATATAAAAGCAAAAGTACAAAAAAAAAGAGTCACATAAAAGTTGGGTTTGTGTACTTTTGAAACACTAATATGCTTTTTTTAAAAATATCCCTAAATAACTCTAGAACATTTCTCTGTCACTTGAAACACTAATATGCTTTTTTTAAAATATCCCTAAATAACTCTAAAACATTTCTCTGTCACAGAGAGAGAGAAAAAAAAAACAACACCGTCAAGCTTAGACATGTATTTTCATTTCTACATACTTTTTCTAATTTTCCTTAGTCCCACACCTAAAAAAAAGCCTTATCTTATTTCATGGTTGTGCTCTTATCTGTTATTGTCCAGAAGTTTTGAAGTACTGTCCTTTAACTAAAGGTGGCAGTCTTGTCTTTGACCTTGTTCTGTCATGGCTAACCTGTGTCTGAGGTCCGTTGTCTGAGCTGCAGTTCACATGGCCCTGTGTTAATGTTTGTGTGTTCCAGGCTGGCTGGAAGGAGAACCATGCGACCTTCATGTGTGAGCTCAAGAACTTGCAGGCATTCGGGCTGACGACACTGGGTCACGCTCTTCGCACAGCCTTTGACCTGCTTAACCTCAACCGACTGGTCTCAGGCATCGACAACTACGGGCAGGTATTTGGACGGCAGAATCCTATTATGTATTTTTCTGGTAGGAGTCTAACCTGTTGCTATGACAACAAAGGACATTCACTGTTCTTTGAAGTTCATATTGGAAAAGAATTGGAATTGGAAAAATAATGAATAATTTGATATTTAAACCTTTGAAGCCCAGTAATGTTAGTCTCTTATTAACATGACGAAAAGGCCGTCTGTGACTCTCGGTCTGTGCTGGGATTTTATTATTAACTGATATCGTCTCCTCGTCAGGGACGTAACCCCTTCTTCCTGGAGCCGTCTGTGATCATCACTATCACTGATGGGAACAAGCTAACACACAGCTCTGGCGTACCGGACGAGGTGAGGCCACAGACATGTAGCAGCGCTGCAGTGAACTGCACCCACTCATACAGACAGACAGCGGTGTTTAATCAACACTCACACCATCATTTCCTGTTGTGTGATTGTCACAAACTGTACCTCAGATAAGACTGACACAATAAATCTGATTTGAAAGTAAAGTTTTTTCATAAGTGGGAAGTTGGCAAAATCTGTGATGTCACTTCTGTTCTGAAACCAACAACAGGCTGCAGCTGATGGCACTTCATAATGTAATAATAACACAAAAAATACACTTAAAAATGTATATGCAAACAGAGTCATGAAATACAGAGGATCCTTGAAAGTAGTTTCTGTTTTATTAGACTGTAAACTCCTAAAAAAGTGTCGTCGTTTCTACAGTAAACTCCACTCAGGTAGAAAAAACATCAGTGTGTGTTTGTTTTGTGTCCGTGTATAAACTTCCTCCTCTGCTGCTGTTGTCATTTCCCAGCTACACCTGCCGCTCAACTCTCCTCTGGCGGGCAGTGAACTCACCAAAGAGCCCTTTCGTTGGGACCAGCGTCTGTTTGCCCTGGTGCTACGGCTGCCCGGAGCAGCCACGCCAGACAATGAGCAGCTCGGGAGTGTCCCCACAGATGACTCCGCCATCACTCAGATGTGTGAAGTCACCGGAGGTTTGACATTTGATTTTAATTAGCCCAACCGTGGTGATGTTGAAGTTGTCCCGACTTTTCAAAACTATAACTGAGAACCTCTTTAACGAGGGTTAAACTAACAACCACCGAAAAAATACAATAACAATCTCTGTCTCTCTCCTCCTCTCAGGGCGATCGTACTGTGTACGGACACAGAGGATGTTGAACCAGTGTCTAGAATCTCTGGTCCAAAAGGTTCAGAGTGGCGTTGTGATTAATTTTGAGAAGACGGGGCCAGACCCGCCCCTCACTGGGGAAGGTAAGTTTTTCAATCAGATGTGAAGGAACCGGATACATTTGCATAAAAGGAGCAGAATATCTTGCCCTTTCTGTTTGTGTTTTCTGAGGAGCAGAATATCTTGCCCTTTCTGTTCCTGATCCTGTGTTTTCTAAACATGTTTAACCGGTGGTTCACCGGACTGAGAAAACACACTCCGTTTGTTTTTGCAGATAACCCGTTGGACCCGAGTCGTCCTCTGTCCTCCTTCAGCCCTCAGCTGTGGCACAGTTGCCATAAACTAATCTACGTGCGTCCCAACCCAAAGACCGGCGTGCCAGTTGGACATTGGCCCATTCCTGAGTCGTTTTGGCCGGACCAGAATTCACCCACACTGGTGAGCCGGACTCTTCTGGACTCTTCTTCTACTTTCACTGTGTCCACCGCAGCCGTAAGAATCCCATGTAATATTTGACCGTCTCCTCTTCCTCTTCCTCTCTTCCCCTCTCAGCCACCACGCTCTGCTCATCCAATGGTGCGCTTCTCATGTGTGGACTGTGAGCCCATGGTGATAGACAAACTCCCCTTTGACAAGTATGAACTGGAGCCTTCTCCTCTCACCCAGTACATTCTAGAAAGAAAGTCACCACACATGTGCTGGCAGGTAGGGCACATTTCAAACACCCGTCAGCTCTCTCTGCTGGTTTACACTCCCCACACACACACACACACACACACGCTCAACTAGGCAATTCAACTGACTGTCCAACTCCATCACTGAAGGCTGTCAAAGGTCTTCTTTAGTTTTAGGGTCAGTGGTTCCTAAAGTGGGGGGTTAGGCCCCCTCTGAGGGCACAGCAAGGTAAATCATTGTCAGTTTCAATATTTTCTTCCGTTGTTTTACAGTGGTAAAATTACACTGAATGAGATTTACATTAATTAGGCGGAGTCTAGGTGGGGGGGGTCTTATCTACACGAGGGGGGGAATAACTGCTAATCGCTGTGATTCCGGTCATTGCGTCGGCCAAGATAAAATACACACATTTTTGTAAAAAAAAAATACAACAATTTCACAGTCATGTTTGAAGTACTTTACTCAGTATACAGTATTTGTGCATATTATGACATCATTTGACTTTTTTTACTTTTGACTTATTGATGGTCACCTCCCACCCTCCCCTTTACTCAGTATACAGTATTTGTGCATGTTATGACATCATTTGACTTTATTGATGGTCATCCCCCCCTCTCCCCCGGACCCACACACACACACACACACACACACACACACAGACACACACACACAGCATCTACCTGTGACTGTCTCGTTGTCCTCAGGTGTTCGTGGGCAGCAGTGGGAAGCAGAGTGACCTGGGTCAGCCGTTTGGATACCTGAAGGCCAGCACCACCCTCACCTGTGTCAACCTGTTTGTCATGCCTTACAACTACCCCGTCCTTCTCCCTCTGCTGGGTGAGATGAGCAACAGTGACGTGTCGTGTATCGAATTAGAATCTGGTGATACAATGCTAATGTTGATACAGCGGGAATGATACGATACATTATGATAAACTGCGATACTATAGGCTTGATGATATATTATTCACCAGTGTAGCTGTAGTCCCAGTGTGATCCTGGTCTCAGACTCTGTTCCATCTGAACATCAGTTCCTAACACTGGAACAGAGGGATCTACATTTGGAATCACTAGAATCAGAAGAAAGAAAAGAAAACATTTTGATAATATTCATATTCTAATTCTTCTGACAAAAATACAAAAAAAAAAGAATACACTGTATAATGTTTCATATTATTTTTGTCTCTTCACAGATGATTTGTTTAAAGTGCACAAACTAAAACCCAACCTCAAGTGGCGACAGGCCTTAGAAATGTACCTGAAGACGATGCCTCCGTACTACCTCCTGGTAAACTGCCTCACTACTGTGTACTGTGTATTTGATACAGTAGTTTTACTACACATGATTTATTTATTTTTTTCTTGTTTTTTTTTTTTTTTTTACCAGCCTTTAAAAAAGGCTCTAAGGATGATGGGTGCTCCTAACCTGATAGCCGACACTTTAGACTGCGGCCTGAGCTACAGCGTCATCTCATATCTGAAGAAGCTCAGTCAGCAGGTGAGGACTCAGCATTTACACATACAGTAGTAGTTTTGTCTACAAAAATCATAGGCGATGTCGATTCTTTTTTTTCTTTTTTTTTTCTTCCCTGTTCACTGAAATGCAGGCAAAGGTTGAATCGGAGCGAATCATCGTGTCTGTGGGGAAGAAACCTCCACAAGAAACTGGGATCAAGGTGAAGAACCACTCCAGCACTTTCTCCCTGGCTAACCGGCGAGACTTCAAGCAGCTGCTGCAGGGGATCACGGGGGAGGGGCCTCTTCGACTGGTCGACATCAATGTCAAAGAATACGCAGGCTTCCACATCGCACACCTCAACAAGGTGAGTTCAGGGGGTGTGACATCACTCCAACCTACAGTGTCTGTGGGCCTTTAACAGACATTTCCCATCGTCTCCACAGGACGTCAAACCCCAGGCCTACAGAAACGCCTACGACATCCCCAGACGGATCCTTCTGGATCAGCTGACACGGATGCGCTCCAATTTGATGCAGGCGTCTCAGAAACTGATCCGAGGACAGGACGAAGGTACGATACACCGAGATGGACACCTTCACTTGGATCAGGATTTTCTTAACGTCACATTTTTTACCAAACTTGAGCGGACACCTGATTGTGATCTGGCGCCATCTGGTGTTATTATAAAACTAAAAGAATGTTTAGGAAAATGATTTTCAGTTTTTGGACAAGGCAAAGAAGCTGGTTATGACCGTGGACTTTGATGATGTGTCACATCAAGAAATACCAAAAAAAAACAAAAAAAAAAAAAAACTGTCACGAAATGATAGATAACTGACTGATATGACTAACTTTATAACTGACTTCATTTGATTTGATTATCTGTGCCTGTTAGATTATCTGCACAGCATCCCGGCGGCTCAAATGGGAAACTATCAGGAATATCTTAAAATGATGCCGTCTCCTCTGAGGGAGATCGACCCGGACCAACCGAAACGTCTGCACACGTTTGGGAACCCTTTTAAACAAGATAAGAAGGTAAAAAAAACTCACCCTGGAGAACATGTTCTACAGCTACAACTACAGGTGTTCAGTGTCTGTCATCCTTTCGTGTGTTTCCTGCGTCAGGGCATGATGATCGACGAAGCCGACGAGTTTGTGGCCGGCCCTCAAAACAAGAGAAGAGGAAACTCCGGTGATTCCAGTCCCGGTGTCAGTGTGAAGAGACGGCGGAGTATGTCCCCGCTGCTGCGACGTCCACAGACCCAACCAGGAAACAACAACAACAACAACTACGTCGGGGTGGGGAAGAATCCTGCAGGACTCCACGGACAACAGAACCTCCTCAGACCCATCCCACAGCACAAAGGTTAGACGACTGGTTTGATCAGTTGGATTATTAGACATCTCTAGAAAAGACCTTTTACACCAATAGAACATTTTAGTTGAAAACAATACAACAAAGGCAGTGTTGGTTAATTAAGTCTGAACAAATCTGCCGCCCCCCCTACAGGACTGGATGGTAACAACACTCTGGTCCCTGACAACAATGGTGACGGGTTACTGGGCCCTGAACCGGGGGAGGTTTGGTCTAATGAGATGGACTCTGTGGGAGGAAAACTGGCTCCAGTGAACTCTGAGGAGAAAGCTGAGGTGAGGTCAGCAGATGAGGGAGAGGACGTCCAGGTGACCAAGGACAGACCGGTGGAGAGACCAGAGGAAAGACCAGAGGAAAGACCGGAGGAGAGACCAGAGGAAAGACCAGAGGAAAGACCGGTGGAGAGACCGATGGAGGAAGATGGACAAAACGAACAGATCCTGGAGGAGAAACAGAACTGTGAGAGTTTGAGTCCACAGAGTCTGGTCGACGGATGTGAAGACGAAGACCCCGCGATCCTGGAGACTATCTTTATTCCACCACTTGATGGAATCCAAGCAGAGTTGAGGACGCGAGTGGTGAAGGAGGTCCGAAAGCCTGGGAGAAGTGAGTGTGAGCCGCCGCAGTCAGAACCAGAACCAGGATCAGAATCTTTGTTGTAATTTGTGCCAGATGTTCGACAAAAATTGTATTCAGTCAAATGTACTGAAAACTGCATGTCATCTACAGAGACTTTTTCTGCCTTTTCTCCAGACTTTGAGACAGTAATGTCACTGCTGCAGCAGGTGAAAGGCCCGCTGAATGTTCAGAAGTACTTCATCCAACACGCCATCAGGGAGGCCGTCAGGTAGGAGTGTTCAGTGTCTCTGTGCTCCGTGTTTGTCTCTGCAGAAAACAACAAACGACACAAGGAGCTGAATACAGTTTTTTACATTTTTTGTAAATGTGGATGTGGGACTTTTTTTTTTGGGTTCATTTCTTAAAGCTGTACACAGTAAGAGTTTGACATACTACATCATACAACTTTATTATTATTTTAATATTTATAAAGATTTAAAATTATATACATATATACATATATTGTCATATATGTCTATGTATATATGTGTTTGTGTGTATATATATATACATATATATAACGTGTACATATACTGTATATAAATAGCGTATATACAACGTGAACATGCAGCCGTCCTGTCTTTGACTGCAGCTCGTCCTCATTTCAGCTTCTTTTTTTTCCCACCGCTTATGAAGCAACATCTTAAACTCGAGGCATAAATAATTTTACCGCTTCACTATTTTGGTCTCTGCTCATTTATCTTCCATGTCTGTCCCACAGGTTCAAGAAGCGGGTGCTGATCCAGCAGCTGGAGTTGGCGCTCGCCGACTTGGAGCCGGGGCAAACGCCGCCGCCGCAGCTCTCCGACGTTCTCGACACGTAGAGGTGGAGTCGCCTCTGGTACAGGAAGTCCGTGAAACCGTCCGCGGAGTAAAGACGGGCCGAGTATCTGGAGGTGGGATAAAACCGACGCACTGAGAGCAGGCACTGCTGTTACATCACTTCCTGTCGGAGGCGGAGGTTAAAGGGTTTAACCTTTGGCATAGTTTCAGCGAGGATGAGGAAAAGGACTTAAAAATAATCCTCTCCGTAATGACAGATGCCTTAAACATCCACATGGCTTTTGTGTGTGTATCGGCACATTGTTGTGACGACACACACACACACACACAGATATGATAACCTGACAAATCCTCTGATGGAACAGGAAATGATTCCTGTGAGTGTGTGGAGAACAGAGTTCAGCTGGTCTGAAAGGTTAGAAATAGATTTCACAGTCGTTCAGAACGACTCCAGGAATCTGTTTTCACTTTTGTTTTGTATTTTTAGTTGAAAAAAAAATTCAAGTTAGAATAAAACAGGTTTTATTAGAATATATTTTAAAGGACAGGCAACATCAGTACTCCGTATGTGAGTATGCAACTATTACTGCAGTACATGCACTGCAGTATTTTGTCACATTGTATTTTGCTATTATTAAGATTTTTAATATTCCAGTTGAGAAAAATGTGAAATTTAAAAAATGGAGCAAATTAAATTCAAATCCTCGTAGTTGAACATTTTTAAAAACTTTTTAAATTTTAAAACTGTTTCTCCAATTTTAGACAAAATTATCAATACAAGAAACCACTGTGGATATTTAAGTCAGTAAATGAGAACAGACAGCACTAACTGTGTTAGTGGTGACAGCATGTGGCTCAGTGGGCACAGGATCGGGTGGATAATCAAAAGGGTTGCAAGTTGAAATCCCAGCCTGTGGTGTGAGGATGCTTCTGGGGGAGGGGGGGGGTAACAAGGTGCCTGTCTACCTGTACAAATACTACAATAATTCTGTCATATTCACTGACTAAGACATTGAGGCCAAAGTGGTTTTTGGAGAAGAAAAAAAAATCCTCTTACATAGAATTTGTAACATTATTTTGAGCCCATGTGGACGACGAGCTGCCAAACTGTCATCATTTCTTCCCACTGATTTGTCAGTGCGGTGCTAAACAGCAGGGTAATGTGTTGACAGTGACCTAGACAGGCGCCTCCTGCAGTCAGCACAGAGCATCACACCACAACACGGGACAACAGTTATAACCAGCAGCAGTGTTATTACCAATGTGAGGACAGTACCAGAACTGACCCGTAAAATAAAATAATAATTTAAAAAATAAACACAACTCACAGCAGTAAACAGGACGGAGGGTCTTTAAAGTATCCGTGGGTTTCAGAGGCGTTCAGGTGCAGCCTGAAATATTTGACACAAGAGGCAGTATTTATTTCAAATGGAGGTGGAAATATACAGTATTTATTTCAAATGGAGGTGGAAAATATATAAAACTGTTTGTTTAAAGACAACTGTCTGTGTTAATGATGATGGTTAAAAAAAAGAAACCTTTCTTACCTCATTGTGGCGCTGTGTTCCCTTTTCATTTGATCAGATGGGTTTTGTTTTATTTATTTAATGTTCAAATATGAAGCATTTTCAAATCACATTTTTAACCAAACTGGAAAGGAAAGGCTTTGATCTAGAACCATCTGATTGTTTTATATCAAAGCCTCTGATGGAAAAAAACCACCACTGAAGAAGAGAGCAGACTGAGATGGGCGATGTTTTCCCGATGGCGTGTTAATGTCGAAACACAAAGCACAATCCATCCATCGGTTCCCAGAGTTTCCGTGTTACGTAGCAGCGCTGGCTGCATGTGTCTGTGGTGTTAGCGAACGATTACCCTTTGTTGATATTCAACATCTGGTTCTCTGCCCTCTCCTGCCCTCCTAAAACCAGCCCCAGTCAGCTCTCCTTTTCCTCCTCCTCCTCCATTCTCTCCTCTTGTTTTTTTTTGTAACAACAGCTGTACAGTACTTTTACATTTTGTAGGAGAAATAGATTATTTTTGTGACTTTGTTTATTTCAGAGTATAAGGATTATTTTAGAAAATATGTTTAAAGCCACTTTTTTAATCTGTAAAATATGTACACAAAGTGTAAAGTTTTATGATCCTGCTGCTTTTTTTACAAAACCGAAAATAAACCTGGTAGAAAGACATGTGTAGTCACCGAGTGTATCTTTGGGAAATTTAACTGATGTAAATCATACTGAAATACTACACAGTACCACAGAAAATATCTGTCTCTCCAAGTACAACCAGGACTAACTATATGAATAAAGTATTCCGTTTTGTACTTACAGTTCTTGCCAAAGCAGATAACAATAGAGTCAGATTCTCGCTGGTACCACTGGAGGGAGCCAAAATACCATCAATGGTTTGCGTACCATAGCTTGAGAGCCGCTATTGTAAACAACATTGTACCTACGAAATATATTAATCTCAAGAGCAAAATATTTAACAATCAAAACTAATTTAACTAACTAATTTTTGACGCAGTCCCGTGGTATAAAAACTCTGGTTTGTCTCTGATTAACCATGTGACCAACTGACCTACTGGCAACCAATGAAATTCGTTTATCTGCCTAAACTCGTTCCGGTCGCTTCTTTCTTGGACGAACCCAGCGCGGATTGATACGGTGATTGTCGAACTTCTCATCAGATAACCTGCGGCGCATTTTAACCTCACAGATCCTACTTCTGTGTGACGTCATAGAACACCCGAACAGAACAGAAAAAAAAACTCACACACACTTTATAAAATCAGTACGTCTTTTATTAAATTAAAAACAATTGGTTGAACCTTAACAAAATGTCGAATGAATGAATGTATGTACCATCTTCTTCTGCTTTGCCCTTATGTTCACAGTATCAGTAGAACATCTGTCGGATGTGGGGCATGAGCGAACATCCCTGGACATGATTTTCAACGTCTTTA